TTTTCTACTTCAATATAATGCGTTAGAAATTATAACGTCTGCGTTTCATCTAATTAAAACGTCATAAATTTGAAGAAACCTTTTATAGCTTTATAACTCATTAGATAATGCATATCGTACCCACTGAATAATCTGAGGCCTTAATATACATTAAATAAAACTAAATCTCGCCTTTTAGTGAATAAGGCATGAGCATCCATTAAAAGTTGGTTTTCTAGCGTATTATCACTTGTGCAATGTTTATAATGCGTTATAATGTGTTCATCGTCAATGCATGCTCATACATTAAAAAACGATAACTAATTAACCTATACGTTTTACGCACATTTTAATTTCAATGCAGTAGCACTCATTTATTTTTCGAATGTGTGCTAACGCGTTGCGGCTTTATAATGTGATAATATACATTATTGAATACAAATAACGGTTTAATGCATTGTAATTCCTCAAAAATATAACGCATTACCTTACGTTAATCGAAATAGCGTATATTAATCCAAGAATAGCAAAACTACGAGTGATAGTCGTTTAAAAAGTCCGATTTTAACAGCTTATCATGGATTACCTTCCATAATTCTATTATAAACCCTTAATATAGCTGTAGTTTAACAGATTATAATGAGTTCATCAGCTTTAACGAACGAAACGAAAGAATTTACGGCATTATCATTGATTAAAGGCTCATTGCCATTTACCTTGCATTAATTAGAGTGATACATCTTGCCCATATATACATCGCATATTTAAAGACTTTAACATCGGACATCGAACAGTTTGATTCTGAGCTTCCACAACGATCGCATTTGTCGTCATGAACTTTTGAACTTTAGTATAAATAATATCAGTCATTTGAAATATATCAATAATGCGGCCATACCTTTGTTCATCTCTAAGCCTTAGAGATGAACAAAGGACAAGTTTAAACTGAGTTTAAACTTGTCGCGATATGGTCTCACGAATGTAAGTTCGATAATTAGTTTGACTGTGGTAGAAGAATGCTTACGTCAAAAAAAATTCGTAACATGGAAAAAGAGCTAATGATGCGTTCTAAGGTACGTTAATTGAACTGTGAATATCTTCTTAACTTGCTGTTTCTCACAGGAATCCAATTACAAACGATTACAAACACAGCTTACGATAAATGTTATGGAAGATGATACAAAACGTAAATCATTAATTCGTCAAGGAAATCAAATACAACTAATACTAGGATGAATGTACGATCATCTTGATAAATAAGAACTTATTTTGTTCTGTAGTATAAGATAAAAAGTTATGTTGAATTACAGTATTATGATATTCGTGGCTCATGATTCATGTATCCAAATGGTTTCGATGCATTAATATCACAATCTTGAATTAGTAGCTGCAAATTTGGCAAAATTGTATTATATTCTATCCATTAACCGTGTACAACAATGTAGGCATGCTTTTGTTGGCAAAATCTTTGCAAACTGATGATGTTTTGTTTTAATTTTCTTCTTTCTACAGCGTTTTATTAAATGACCAATATAGACAACGAATATTAATATATAAAATACATATTAGATATATTAAGAGTACCAAAGTTTTATGAAAATATATAGTTCTGAATATAAATTTAGAAATAATAAATAAAATTAGAGATACAATCAACATTCGTTTAATAAGAGCATGCCATGGCCATACAATTAAAAAATATAATTGATATCCAATCGTTGAATGATGATGTAGACAATCACCAGAACAAAATCCACTTTGACAACATTTTTCATTTTCAGTATCTAACATATTTGAACGATAAAAACATGATAACTGTTGTAAGTGGGTTAATTCATAATAACACGGTCGAGAATGTGTTTGTTGATAACAGTGTTCGCTATTGCCAACAATTATCGGATGTTTACCTGATAATCCAGATACCATCCATCGAAACGAGGACCATGATGTGAGAATTAATTGTTGACATTTTTGATAATGACCATAAATCGACAAGCGCTTGTTGAACATCTGAGCATTGTCCAGGGATGGATGATATTGAAAAATTTAAAATTTAAATATTTGATGGTACGTTTGTTTTAATGTATGTTTTATAGGGTTGATGGTCGGATGCAACAAACCATGTACTGAATGTAGATGAATTTCTTTTAAATATATTCAATGCACAATCTTAGAAAAGCATAGAGGAATGTACAGATTTAGAATTAAAGAAATATTCTTTCAAATATCAGATTTTGTTGATGAGACCGACATAAATCAATAAAAGAGTCAATAACTTATGTTTTCATGTCAATGTTTCGCAATGGAATCAAACGAAGACGTATTTTGTTTAAAAGGTCATGTTTAAGATATGTCTGTATATGATAATGAATCATGACAATGGGTCGATTTTTATAGTACCAAAAACTCTTGATAAATATCAGAAAAAAGTTAGATTGTTGTACATACATACCTAAAAATAATTTTTCATCCTCTTTTTTCATTTGTTTTATTCCATCTTTTCTCATGTGTATACCAATATCGAATTTTGTTGTTTCATTCAATAATAGATCCTTATTTTTTGGTACAAACAAATATTTCATCAACGTTTGAAATAAATAATCTTCATTAACATTTTTAAATATTATTTCACTATAGAATGAATTTTTTATCAGCACACTTAGAAAATACTCATCTGTTTGTAAAAATAGAAATTGATAACGACTGAAATATGTTGTTAAATTTGAACGAAACAACTCATCAAATGGACCATGAAATGCTAAATAATAAATATTAGAGAGAATGTAGCTTTTGCTATATAAATAAAATAAGTTATTTGTTGTACTAGGTAACGAATCAAAAAGCTCATTAAATGAACAACCACGTAAACTTGTTGGATGCCAATCAATGATAAAACAACGATTGGTTAATACAGCCATTAAAAATCCCGATATCGTCGTTTGTAAACGATTACCAAGACCTGCTTCACACGTAACAATTATCCATTGTTCACGTTCATTGACAGAATTCAAATATTCTTGAATAAATTGTATTAAATGATCGGGTATCGATGATGTGAATGTGAAATTTTTCCATCTAGGATTCGTTACCGAACTATTATTCCGGATGCTGAGTGATGAAATAAGTTTTTTTAATTTATTTCGACGATCTGATATAGTTTTGATAATGAAAGATTGTTACAACAGTGAGTGTCACAAGTGGTGAGACAACGAAAAAAACAATGATAAATTTCATCTACACACCATTCGTATTGGAGACATTGGTTTTTGAAGATAAGACGATCAAACTCCTGTAAGTTTTCGATTGGCGTCATTTTCATTACGTTTGAAATTAAACTGACGCCCTAATTAAAGAACAGCAGCTATGGAGTCCGCTCCACATTCATCTTTAATGATCTGAAGGTTTTATGACTTTCTTTTGATATATTTTTGTGGAAATAGCAAGGAGATATTCGTATTTAAGTACCAGTAATATCAAATTAGAAAATTTAATTTGTAAGAAATGCACCATCTACTCGTCCATCATCGTTGTAACGGAAAAGATTCACAAACTCGTTTCATTCTTATCTATGTTGCTCATTCACTTCATGTGTGAAATAGCTTTTTCTTCCTTTAAGAACACGTAAGAAAAGTTTCATAGGAATATGAAAGTGTTTCCCTTTATTTTCACGAATCTTTTTTTCGAGGTCTCTTGCCTCTTTTCTCTTATCTCCTTCCTCTCAACGTTGAATAGATACGTTTTCCATCTTTACATCTAGCTCAGGTCGAAATCAAAATCTTTCATTTTCTTCAACGTTTGTCTCTCTAGTTATAGTTTCTTTATTTCTTGCAAAAAACACGTAATACTATAGATTTGAGAGATTTATTGGATTGTAAGGAACAATGGAACAGATTCATCTAGATGCATCGACTTTATATTAGAAACATATGTTCTGCCATCCGTGTTTCTTATACATATATTCGTTTTGACTACCATGGCCAGAAGAGGAAGTTATGTTCATTTCTTATGTTTGAATCGAAAATCGTTCTAAAACACGTGAGCACAAATTCTGTGAGGATTTTTCTTACAATAATGGACTCGGTCGATGGGCAGAGCATGGAGCAGAACAGGTCTGATCACCTGGCAAAGTCCCTGCGTAAAGTGTTATTCAACATCTCCACTATATATTTTCCGTAGCGTATCTGCAGTAAATTCATTCTTGCTTAGATGATATAGAAGTTTCTTGTGAGTCTGCTGCTCCTATAGCGTCTAAAATCATACACAACGCATCGACATCCGCTATTGACTTATCACCAAAATCTAATAATTTTGGTATTATGATATTTACTGCTTTTTCAATAATATTCAACAGTAAACAGCAGAATTCACATGGATTATATTTAAATCCATTATTGATAGGTAATAACGTATCTTGTTGTTGTTCGGTATCTGCAGTACTGTACCATTTCATTATAAAATTTGGATAACGTGATTCGATAATATGAAAAGTTTCTAACACAATATTCATATGTTCTACATTATATTTGATTAAAGTAGGCGAATCATCGAAGTGTTCCTGCACAAGCTGACGAAATTCTTCAGCAGCAGACATATTGGATTCTATTTTTACAGTGGTACGCGACGATTTAGTTCGTGCGTTATATTGATCACTAATGTTCAAACAAGCTTCAAACAGATAAAAATGTGATTTAGTAGCAATGATTGCTTTTGGTGATTCTGTTTCTTTATCAACTGTAAGTGATAAGAGCACACCATAAGCTAAATCAAGAAGATCTTCATCATAATCTTGTAATATATTAACATTTTCAATAAAATAATGTTTACAATAACGTGTTTTAAACATATTCATTGCTGTGTCTCTCCATAAATTAAGTAGAGAAGATGTTAACAGAGCACAATTATTTATATTATTTCTGTTTTTCATATTCTTCCATATATCTGTTAAATTAGCCAATTCTAAAATCCATGCAACAGTTGTTTTGATAAAATATGATGGTATATATAAACCAAATGAAGTTTCAATGGGTCTTAAATATTTATAATACAATAACTTAACCATAAAATTAAATTGATTTTCATAAAATGTACGCTCTTGTGCTAGAATAAGTTCAATCATTGAAAATGAATAACGAAATTCGTATTGTGCATCAATTAGAGAACCTTTTCCTGACCATTTTGATACTAAATAAACGGATATTTGATTCTGAATTTTTTCACAAAATACATTTGACCATCTGTCATTTGTCTTCATACGACTGGTAAACCAGTTCATTATTTTTGGCCAAAACTTAAGTTCAATAGCAGGTACAATATCTTTTTCATAGACAATGTATTTGTTACCTGACCTTACTGTTACAGATACGAGCGATTTATATTTTAAATAAAATTTAAATAAAACGTTCAATTTTTGTAATAAATTATTTGGCATAGAAATACCAAAAATTGGTCCCAACATAATGCTTGATAGATTATACATACCTTTTGAACTATTATTCAACATATTGTATCGAAATTCGAGAACGTCATCTTGCATATCACGTTCTTGAAATAATTTATGAAAACTTTTTCTACGTTCTAATGTCATTGATTTAAAAAGTGTTAAGTAAACATGTTCATATTTATTCAAAAGATCACCAACATCATTTATCTGATTACTAGTAATATAATAAATATTTGCTTTAGATAAATATACGGGTTCCACAAGTTCAACATTTTCTGTTTCGACATAATCTAATTCGGAATGTTGCTTTTTCGCATATGATGGATAATAAATGTTTGCAATTAATTGTTTACATTTAAAACCATTTATATATTTAATATTGGCTGTTTTAACTTTACCATAGGGTAACTCTTTATTACTACCGTCATATAAAACTTTAACATAAACTGGATGACTAATACATTCTTTTAGCAAATTTTTATTATTTAATTCAGCAAAAACATATAATGCATCTCTTTCAGTTTTACCATCAACAGCATAAAATTGCGATCGAGCATGACATCCGCCTTCACTGGCACTACCACATTCAATTAATCTTGGATTTCTTAAACATAATGTATTATCCATATCCGAAAAATAAAAACAGTTGTGGATATAATGTACTCAGAAGAATGTGAGCAATATTACGCAGTTTATTTACTGTGTAATAGAAAAAGCAGTGAGTGACAGGTTTGTATATTACTGATTTCTTTTGTTCCTTCTATTTACTATATTTCTGATTGCATGTTGTCTTGGAAAAAGACGAGTTTTTCACTATTTGAAAAATGTTTCACTTTCATTCTGTACGGTAAAATTTTGCATTGCATATGAGTCGAGAGAGAGCAATAACTGAAATAAATATAAGAATGAAAAATGAGTCATGTTTATGAAACATCTTAAATTCATGCGGCTAAAGTTGTGCGCACGTATTACTTCTCTTCTGTGCATTCGTACATTATAATATTGAAGGGGCGGTTGTTGTTGCGCATAGTCTTTAGTTGAGTCAGCATTTATGTATGTCACTTTGCTTCTTTCAAACAAATTATGACTGCAGCACATGGGATCAGATGTACTCGTTTTGACAAGAATTTCCACCGATCTAAGTCATAGATATTTGAAGATTTTTAAACGACTTGTAAAATGTGTGTATGTTGGGTATTTATAAACTACGCTCCCACCCACACCCAAACTAACTTCTAATTATACGGTTGAATAGAGGATGATGCACTATCCGCACACCTATCCATATCTCATCCAGAAATTGCTTCTAACGAAACAAAATGTTTGCTTTTTTTGTATTCCATATAGCCGCAATGGTAGTTATTTACCATTGATTTGTGATTTATAGCTCACTATAAATATGAACTTACGAACACTTTAATACTATTGTCTGTTTAAAAATTTAGGATATTTTTTTGAATAACTCGAGAACGAAATGAACTACAGAGCAACGGTTTTCTGAGTATGAAAGAGCACAACCGGGCATAATTTTATGGTAAAATGAATCTTATCCGACAGATCTACCGCGGTGTACCTTTCGAAGCAAAAATTCCGAGTCTGTCATTCCAGAAATACACAGAGAATTATTGCACTAAACACATGCCGGTGTAGAGCAGGTATCGCTCTACAACGTGGCGCAAGTCCCACACCTCCATCTACCATGGTTCGGATACTACAGGAAATCTCTAAGGACATATCTGTTAACCAACTCTGAGCTCTAGGAACCTCAAAAATACATGATACATAAGCTCTCGGATACGCTGATTACTGTGACAATGTTTATTTTGTTGTTCAGGTTAAAAAATCGGCAATAGACGATTTTTTCAGAAAGTATGATTTTAGTATGGTCACAGTGAAAAAACTTTACTATTCTATATTGTCTAGCTCTCTTTAAGTGATTAATAATAGCGATGATATCGTTCATCTATACACATACAGAGCTTTCACAGTCAGTTGATGATGAATCATTGTTAATATGTTTATCTATTTACAACTAAGGAGCTATAAATACGAACTTATGAACACTTTAATACCAGTAAAACAAAAACTGAACAGATATGCAATATCAAGAATTGACATGAAGCATAGATATATATATGATAGAAAAAACAAGTTCTTGTTTTGAATATGGTACACTTTCTTTCCTTCTCATACATGTGTATTGTTGCCATGGCTCTCTCTCTCTTTCTCTCTATCTCTCTCTCTCTCTCTCTCTCTCTATATATATATATATATATATATATATATCATTGGAGCGCAGTTATATCAGTTGATACTCGTTGTTTCATCACAAATTGTTGTTTTGTATCATTCATGTATGATTAGAGTAAAGAAGAGTGGCGCTGTTGTATTTCTGCTAGGATGATCTTTAAAGCATTCGGAAAATCGTTTTGCTTTATTTGTAATTTATCTGCCCTTTCGAAATTTACACGCAAAGAGCTGTTTACCTAAAGATAAATTATGTGTATTTAATTCTAATGTTACATATGGTAGATGTGTAAGAGTCACTTCCAAATTAAGTGATATTATTCCGTTCATACTTTTATGTCGCGCAACATGGCTTGTGATGCTGCTAAGCGGACGACTTGTTCAATTTGTGCGCCACTAAAATCGGTCATCAAGTTATTTAAATATATAAAATTCACATCAGCAGACAATTTAGAATTTTCACGCATTTTCTTTATATGAATATTTAATATATCCAATCGAATTTGTGCATTTGGTAGCCCTAAAGGAGATAGCAATGGATATACATTATATTTGCGGTTCAGTACTTTAGTGCAGCAAGGAAAAATCATACCTAGGCTATGCAAACTTCCGGGCGTCCTGGGCGTAGTAATCAAGTAATCAACTCTTTTAAGGCAGAATAAACCGTTGCGCTATACTTGATTACTTGATTACTACGCCCAGGACGCCTGGAAGTTTGGACATCGGTTGATATTTTACAATTGTTATTCTTAAACATAAACAGATTAGGTAACTAAAGTCTTCGCATTTGAAAAATGGAGATTTCCGGAAGGTTGTGGTACATACTTGTGAATATCGAGTCCTACACAAAGCATTAATTTCATCGAATATTACAACACGCATGGGCTTTCTTCACCATACTAATGCAAAAGAACGTGAACACCAAATGAGCATGCACCTGAGTTTTCACATCCAGCGAACTACGTAAGCATTTATTAGTTACATACTACTTTTGCATCTGTCTCGGCAGTTTCGAGAAGGCGTTGGATATTTGCTTCCGACTCTTCCACTATGCCATATAACAGTTTTGGTCCGCTGACCACTTGTGGCTGTACGTCCAACAATTCACATAGGGTCGTAAAAAAGGAAACTGCAGCTATTTTACATTAGAAGCAAATATTTTAGAAAACAAATTATAAACGCCTAAAATTATTAATCAAAAACCTTGCTCCGGTTGCTTTGCCTGTGTCTCGTGGACCAAATCAGGCGACTCCAGGAACATGCTTTAAACCTATGCAGCTGGTACAAAGGACCGCAGGATAAGACGGCAAATCTGCCACCCCCTTGATACCAAATTATTATATTATAGTTGGATAGAAGATTGTTAGGCACATCCGAATCTGTTATCGGTTCTCTAAAATTGCTTGTCCTTGGGTGGAAAATCAAGTTCTTCTAATATAGTCTCCAGTGTGGAGTGATTTCGATTAAAATTATTATAATTCAACAACGAAAGTAGATATCGGAAAACGGTTTCCACCAATAAACTCCCCATAAAATTCTACACAAAATCATCTTTCTATATCCATAATAAACTTAACTCTTGTTCACTGAAAACACAGAACAAGGTCTGAAAATGAGAAAATTTCGAAAAAATTGAAATTTGAATAACTCGAATATTTGAAATACCGCATCCGCCAAAGTTTCCCCAAAAGATGGTTTCAACAATGATATGGTTGAAAACCTCTGAAAGAAACTTTAAAAGCACAAGGTTTTCTAGAAAACTATCATAATATGACAATGCATTCAACATGGATATAGATAAAACATCAAGGCTGATCAAATCGCTGAGTTGCAGCGATAAAGTGGAGGACAGCATTATATACTTCAGTCAGTTCTTCTTTGCAGAGTGCTCCTATCAAACTATGATGCAACAAAACATTATCAGTTGTTATTGTTTTTACTTATTCGAGAGAAGCAACATCGCTTGACGTGGGGCATCACACCGAGTACAATGCATAAAGAAATGTTTAGTTGATTCCGTATCATCTCCACAAATACAATCTAACAAAGGTACAAGTTGTCTTATAAATAAGGATTCATTTAATTGTGGAAAACCAAGTCTACATTTTGTATAATGGATCTCAAGTTTTCTATTCTTAATAGGAGGAACTCGGAAGGATTCTAGGAAAGATGATTCTAAGTACGATTTAAAACGTTTATACTTACGAACATTACGCACGTCATCATCCAACTGATTCCGTAGTTTACTTGAGTTTCTGATGAAAGTTCTTTGAAGTCTCAAGCTCGTCTTGAAACTAGTCGGAACATCACCTCGAGTCACACTTCTTGTGACATATGACATTTTATCGTACTTTGGCACGAGCTCACGTAAATATGGAGACGTTTTGCCATGCATAATTTTATAGAAGAGGCACAATTATCTCACGTAAATCAACTGCGTTACTGGCAACCAGCTTCGAAAAGCATTCCTATTTAAAATACTTATCATTTTTTTACTGTATTTTCTACAACCAAATTTAGAATTTCTAAACATATTTTTTTCTGATGCTTAAAATTTCTTTCGAATTCATTTCAAAAAGTTTTTCGAACAGTTCCGGTTCTCACAGTTCCAACTGATTATCGCTTTAAAATTGATCCTAAAAATTGTAAATATTCATTTGTCTAACCAAACACGCGCCCGATAGTCAACAAAACTTTTTCCTATTAATTAACTCAACATGGTTACAAATGACCATACAAAATTGATTGAGGAAAGAGCTTTCACCTTGAGAAATCAGTTTTCTACTACGGTTCGAAAGCGATTTTTGTAGTACCGTTTTATCTAAATATTTTGTCCTATAGTGTTTAACCATTTTCGAATCGATTGAACAAATGACCTACTTCTACACAACTGAATTCACTTCTTTTTTCAAGGGATTTTAATTTGCTTTCCAATTTCTGACCATCAATTTAGGCTTAGAATGATTTCCATAAGTAAATGTTGTATGGGTTCTTACTTCTATATTCTTCTAGTTGCTAAAAATGTTAGTTTTATTTAAAATAATACGTCCCTTCATTCAAGATTAATTGTATTCAATCATGTTGATATACTATACGAGCGTTATTTTGTCGTACAACGCTTCTGTATCAAGCACAGATAATAATTTCATTTCACCTTTTCTTTTTAAGGAGATAAGAGAAATATGCTTTTTAAACGAAACTCACACGCCAAGAATATATACTTTTTTCGATCAAAATTTCAACTCACATGCTTTGAGAAAGCAGAAAAGTATACAAGGCAGATACAGATTCTTGTTTTTTGTTGTTAATACTGTAATTACTAGTTACAATGACAACAGTACCTAAAGGGGATTGGCATGATCCTATACATGCACAAGAAAACCGTACGTTCACTGAAAGTGAATATTCCCAAGATGGAAATGATGAATCTTGGACTTTAGAAGAAAGAAATGAAATAGAATTATGCGAAAAATTTAACGCGTGAGTAATGCATTCAAGGTAGAGATGTTTAACACTGTTAATGCGAGTTTAGATTTGATAAAAATGGATCAGGTGAAATTGATGTAAACGAATTGCAAGAAATTTTATCAGAAGAAAAGCGAAAACCATTCCAAATTAATGTACTCAAAAGTCTGATGGGTAAACGGAAAAATTGTTACATGATTTGACTATAATCATAGCTCATTTTTATTACTCAGCAAAGTATGATTGTGATAATTCTGGTACAATTGATTTTAATGAATTTCGACAGTTATGGACATATTTGCGCAGTATTATATTAAGTTTTCGATCTTATCAACTCGTTTCGAAAGACGAGATTGCGATATGGAAGCTAATGGAAGTATTAAAAGGTGAATCGAATACAGGTTTCGTACAATTAGGTGTTCCATCTCTTGCGCTGCTGTGTGTCCTGGCAAAGGCATTACAAATCATTATATTCTTTGTATTATTGATAAACTTTTCTTTGTATTTTCTTTCAAATCTTATCGTCGTGAGATTTGTATAAACCACTGTTTTTCACTCGACAGCTGCAAGACCTACATAACAAGTCATTTGAACAAGCTGAAAAATTTACTCAAACACCAAATACGACCAGAGTCAAACGAGACCTTGGTTTTCACTTGTTCACATGTGGTACCCGATGCCCTGGCACCTCTAAGATCGATACCCGATGACTCTGAGCATTCGAAAAATCGCATAGAACATACGAAATTGGTCACGCTGAATCAAAAGTATTAAAAACCATATTTTTGTTTAAAGATTTTCTAGAAATCTATTGGGAAGGCCACAGGATTTTTGAAATATTTTCGCAAACTTCTTATGAACAGCATGGTCTATATACTCTGTATTCTAAAATTTTGAACTCGTTCTGACGTTTTTGGAGTGAATTATTGATTTTTAAGATGGTAATAGCCTGGAAATTCTGATTTTCGTAAAACTTCGTTTTCATGCGGTTTGAAATTCTTTTCCAGAAATAAACATCGGATTCTCATTGGATTCAGAGTGATCTATTTCTTTATGCTCCATGCGATTTTTCGACTACTCAAAGTCACTGAATATCGGTCTTACAGATTCCAGAGCATGCGATGCCACATGTGGGCAAGTAAAAATTAAGGGTTCGTTTGACTCTCATTCTAAAGAGGACATGTCGGGCTGTCTATCCATATAAAGAAACGAAAAAGTTTCCATGCGAACTTTTTGAGATGCAAATCCGTTTTTCAGAGACAATATAAAAGCTCTGATTTCTTATATGGAAATGCGTTGGAGTCTTGACTTTCGAATGACAAAAGTCTGAACTCTCATGCTCTACTCGTTCCTGAGATATTTAAAAAATACTCACAGACACCGTGAATGGAATGGACAGTAGAAAAGATTGATGGTAATCATTAATTTTTCCTTAAAAGTACCTTATTATCGTTTACTTTAGATATTACTGGCATTGATATAACAGAGAAAGTGTGTGATGTGTTAGTAAAACTTTATGTTGAAAAGAAACCGTGGTATAGGCACCGTAGGCATAATATTCATTTGGACGAATTTATTGCAATGGTCAACGAAATTCAAGTAAGAAGAAAGCAGCTACTACTGTCAGATTTCTTCGTTCATCTTTTCACTATATTTTCAAATGTTTAGACGTGTGTTGAAGAATATGATAATATGTCTAATAGCAGACATGGTTTTGATGATTATCTGTTGAATGATTTGAAAAACCGGCATAAATAATTAATGTATATGTTAAATCAAAATCTGGAGAGAGCTTTCGTGAGTGCATCAAGAGACACTATCATATGTGTAAACTTATTTTCTATTTAAACCATTTTTATTCGGTTTCTCGCTCAAAACTAAGATGTCTAAATTTGTAGTCCTGAGCAAATAAAACTCGAAGCGAAAGGGAATTTCTGAGTAAAAACTCAATAAAAAGCGACATATTTTAATTACATATTCAAATACAGGAAGAATATAAACGTTGAAAAGATGAAGACGAAGTGACGATGGGGCTCTCCCAAAGACACGAGCAATTAAGTCTAACATATTCCCACATCTACAAATAGTATCTTCTACGTGAATTTTCTTAAAGGTGTATACCAAGCAATTCTTTTTGTCTTAAAATTATGAATTTAAATTTATATAAATCAAATCAAATGGACTGACTAAAATCACATTCTGACCTCGATAATTTCCTATGTTAAATGTTTTTCAAATAAACCTGGAACATTTTTTCTATCTGATAAAAAAGAATGAGGTTACAGCCTGCAAGTGCTGTATACTTACTCTGTAAATTGGTTATCTTACTGATTTACTTCTACTTTAAAAAGGTTCAAAAAGCAGATATAAACTGCAAAACGTTCGAGTATAAAAGTATTCTACTTTAAGAAATAAAATGCCTTATATAACAGGCATTGTTTTTCGTCGCGTTTAAAATGAGAAAAAAACACTGATATCATCAATCGCACACGTGGCGAGGATGTGTATATATATACGTTTATAGGAAGCATGTTTCTTCAAAATGTTAGAAAAGGATAGACTGCTCCACATGCTTATCCACGTGATATAAACCTATACATATACTCTAGCCACGTGTATGATTGACGATACGAACATAATGCAATCGTAGATAACAAACGGTGACTGGAAAAATGTGAAACTAGTACGTACCGGTGCAACATAGCATGCCGTCCGCACTGGTAGTGCCGGACATTTTCAGTACTACACTAGGATTTTTCTGCAGGAGATTCTATCATGTTTCTCGTAAGAATCTTATAAGAATCTGATAAGAACGTACGAGTTTTGCTGACTCTTACCAATTTCTTATGAATTCTTGTGAGATTTTTATAAGATTCAGCAAAAAGTTCTTGTCACTTTCGTGGAAGATCTTATATAAGAATTGAGTAAGATTCTGATAAGATTCTTGTAACATTCTTATATAAGAACCGATGACTAGGGTGAAAGAGCTGGATAGTTCGAATGGCTAGATACTTTTTAGATCTAACTGACAACTTTTAAAAACATTATATTCTTGAGAATTATAGCAGCTGAGTAAAGTGAGATAATTTTTTTGTTTTATTCATCATATTTCGACCTTAATCGGTCATTATCAAGTGAGACAAACTGTGAAAGATGGAAAATGTTTATCTAGACACAGCAAAAGAAACAAAAACTGAGTTATAATTGTTCATACTCTTTAATGTTAATTCCATTCGACAAGTCATCGACTGAATTTTAAGAAATACAGGATAGATAGTTGTACATTGAAATGGAGAATACATGAACGAATACGAAAATATTTATATATTTTTCCCGATTATCTTTATTTATCCTTTCCTTTTATCCGGATGATTTTTCAAGTAATCGTAAAAATTCTTGACCGTTCATATTGAATAAATCTTTGTCGTCATTATCATTATTGTTACTACTACCTGACATGTTTTCAAATAAATGTTAAACAGAAACTAGAAGCTTTCAGAAAACAGTCTCGGATATATCCTTAGACAAAATCAGGCTAAGAAAAAAAGAAGACAGCAACAACTCAAAATTGCTCAGGAAAGAATTTTCTTCGAAACAAATTGGGTGGTAACTGTACTACTGTATTCAGCTGTCTCGACATATGGAACTTTTCGTGATGAGACGATCAAGTACCTCAGTCCGACATTTGAGAGAAACTAAAATCAGAAAGATTTTGATAATGTTTTATTCCATTTCATTCCATTATTTCATTTAAAGAGTTCGATAATATTAACACCAGTATTTCTCTTGAGATAATTTTAGATATAAGAGCCAAGAAGAAACTTTACAATGTTGGAGAACACTTTATTGGATATTGCGAGGTTACCTTGCTAAAACGAGTTTCGTTGAAACCAGCGTGTCAGCCACCGTAAGTCGTTCTTTAACTGAATATCTCCATTTACAAGCGTACTCACTTTTTAGCAGTTCTAATCACTATGTAACACAATACGGCGTTTAAACTTCGATAAAGAAGAACAGAAATATCGTTGAAGTATAGACATCAATATTACAAAACCATGAAAAACTCTTTTTTCAACGAGAAGCGATAGTTATGAAAAAATTCATATGTGGGTGGGTTTGAGCCAAACATGAGAGACCCGTTTTGATATCTGGTTTTGATACGAACAAAAAAACCAAATTAATTTTCAACGCTTAAATTAATCATAAATTAATCAGTTTATATCAACAGCATTCCTCGCAATGTGATCTATCCCTCCCTTTGCTCCAGCATAACCTGCTTTTATACTCAAGATTAGTAAAAACATTCGGTTACTTCTAAAGGTTTCTAGAAAACTGTTTTGAAGCCTGAGTGTATTTTATTCATTATTAAAAATTTTGTTGAACTCAGATTACAGTGTAGATTAAAAAAATTAGTGTATGTTTATGTTCTGAAGTGGCTTGGATTGATTTCGACTGAGTGATGGATGAATTTTTTATATGTTTTTGTAAAAATAGCCAAAAATGTGCTATATTATTTGGCACAGATTTTCAATGAGTTTCTAGAGTATTTTCTGAAAAAGTACATTGTCGCCAGATTCGGCATGATCGATAATCTATGTTTTATTCATTTTTGATGTTTCCAAAAGCCACTAGAAACCGATCCTCGGGTTTCTAGGAAATCCTATGCCACGCCTAAAAGGTGAAAAACGGAGAAGTCGGAGGGTTCGCATTTTAAAGATGATGCTCTGCGGTCCTTCTGGAAAAAAATGAATAGATTGTAGTTCAACTTTTTTGGCACTGATCCGGTTTTCCAAAGATCTCTTGGAAAATCTTATTGGAAAGCGGATTCCTAAGATTGTTTTGTAGGATATACTGGGTTCTTCCTAACTCTTTCAGGCTTTTTTTTCATAACTTCCGAAAGAATTCCGAAATAGATTATCGATCATGCTCACCTTCACGGCCATGGCTAGCTGTATTTTCGCCAATCGCACTTTTGCCAGTGGCGAGTGGGATGTGAACTGTCGCCAATACATTGCCTTCGCTTTCGCCAATTGCCGAAAATCATGTGAACCAATGCGATCACTTTGACTTTCACCAATTAGCAAAACTCCGGTGAATTTCGCCATTATAGTCGAATGTATCTTTTGTACATGAATCGAGGGAATGTCGCCAATATTTCCCGAGGTTCGCTAACTCCGCCTCTGTTTCTTGTCACTTGGCGAAGATTCTGTGAACTTACGCTAATATCTGCGAAGTTCCTATGGAAGTTCGCCAATATCGGTGAGAGTCCCCAGAATTTTCGCCAATTGGCAAAAGTTTACTCGACATTCGCCAACACACCACCCGAACATTCGACAATAATTGGCAAAGAACAGGAACCCCACAGCCGTGACAGTGAGAGAGACAAGTTGCATTTGCAATCTGCTTCAAGTTGAAATCCATTGTGATCTCGAAATCTGACACCCTGCTCTTTTTGCATCCGACAAGTATAGCTGGAAATCCGACAGTTGCAAGTATCCATATTTTTAACTAAAAGTTATAATTAACTTTGTGTTGCTGTCCGTCCTTTTCTACAGTCATTTGTCGGATATTATTAGCCGATGTTAAATAGTTCAAATTTATTATAAGTCACGTCTGAATTCAATTAATTTCAGATTGTCCAACAGTGTCCACACTTTTCTTCTCATAATTGATGATACACCGTTATAGTTATTCAAAATAAATGAGAAGACATAACTATGTGTTTCACTAGTATTACCATTTTGTTGCTTTTGGACATATCCAGCATAGGACATAACATTGTTGAGAGAACCGCTTTTCATATGTATGTTCTTTATAATTTGGTAATGAATTATAAAATTCATTGAAGCATTCTTCTTTTTGTATACTAAAAAGTACTCCGGCTATTGCAGATGTTGTTATACGATTGTGATCTAATGTGGGCGACTGATGAATACGTATTGTCTTACGATCTGATGCGTGTTCTTCTATAGTAGTAATGGTCTTGCATGGTTCAGTTATAAAAATATTTCGTTCCTGCATTGCTTGCTTCAGTTCGTTAGTGATGTATAAGGCTGCATCCGGTATAGAACTACGTATTAAAAAGTTTCGTGGTACATCGAGAGAAACTGTGCCACGTAAGCAGCCAATGTTTTCATGAGACGATAAATAAAGAAGGGCATCTTCGTCGCCAGTCATGCCAGCTGCACTTGTTGTTAACTCATTAATGAATGTTACAGATGGTGGGATCATTTCCAATCCAACAATCGATGCCTGATCATTAACGTTTTTACCTGGTTGTAAGTACATGGTGAACTGATTTTCACGACAGTCTAACGCATTATGGCCTGCACCATAATACTGTCTTAACAAAATAATTTTATTTGTTCAACGAGGATAGAAGTACATAGAATAGGGGGGCACAAATAATTATCTGTTTTTTCTATAGGATGATAAAAGAATGAAAAAAATCATTCTCATACCCCACGTCATGCCATGTATACCCATCAACCATCCATTGGGTACTATTCCACAAACTAATATCGGCAGCTATACCGCGGCAACGTTTAATACCTTCACGTTAATATACAATAATACACCATCTCAGATCAAAATTTGTTTTTCAAATAAATGACTACGCGATTAAGGAAGCGACTAGTATTTACCGACAATATAGATGTATCTATCTAAGAATCCATCATCATGTAGATCACCAGAATGTTGTAGCAGTGTCATATAAATAAAATCTTTTCCAAGATAATGTAATGCGACTGCAGCTGTTATAGTTTTTAAGGTTGATGCTGGTGAAAGGCCAAAATCTTCATTCTGTCCAAACAGAATATCGCTAGTTTTGCTATTCAGAACAGTTAATGAATAAGATGCATGTGATAACTGACTATCTCTTGTGAAATTATTCCAGATGGTCTGAAAATCTTCTAATCTAAAAAATAGAAACCAGTTCTTTTTCTGAAAATATTTGATTCGTTCGAGAGACTTCTTACCATATAAAAGGTCGATTTTAGTGATCGAAAGTTGAAAACTGCTAGCAGTGCAAAGAAAAATTAATAACTTTATCATCCTAATTAAGCTATTCTACATAAAAATAAAACATGCGATTATCAAGTCTTTTTTTCTTCTAAGTTAAAAATGTTTTATTGGTTGTGCCAGCAAAATTCGAATTAATTCCGATATGAAGGTTTATGTGTTTGCGATTCTGTCTTTATTATTCTCCTGTTTTTGTATGTGAACTTATTCTCAACTATTGATACTTGTTGATAATCAGGTTAGTTTTCTTTCCTGTACCCAGAAGTGAGAGTACATTTACATCAGGCTTAAGTGGCGGTGATGTTGTGAAGATGCTCTTTTCTTTATTTGCATGTATTACGAATATCTAATCTGTTGTAAAATTTTAAGCATACAATACTAGTCAAAACTATTTGTTTTAAATGTTGAAAAAAAGGCTAGAACACTTGTACTTTAAAAAGTACATGTACACTGAAATCTATGATAATCACACAAAAGTGTCTTCCACTCCTATAAAATTGCACGATATTCGGTGTATTCAATATTTATAGGATGAACGTACATCTTCTCAGCCAACTAAATACACTCACTCGGCTTATGAGCTGCCATCTTTTCTCGGATGGTACGTGAAATAATTTTTATTTTGTAATTGGTATCAAATGGAATATATTGCACTACTCAACAGCAGCTTCGCTCAATTAGTTAAATAACAATCTGAACTGTACATTTTGTTCAGTTTTCCGAGCTAAGTCCATGACCTGTTCTAGATGGCACAGCTTTAATAAAAAACGTTTCGATCGAGATCGTATTTCCTACATTACCTTTTTGATAGAACATCGTAGAAACTCAGCTGACATCTCATTTTCTACCAAAATAAACGGACTACCTTCTATCATATCGACACTCTAGAAATCTAAACTGTCTAACTAACCCTTTCTTAATTCTCGATCTTTAATCTTGTCATTCCTATTCATTTGCAATCTGTCCAATACTCTCAGATTTTAGCTAAAATGAAACATTCATTTTACTTTATTCTTTTTTTAAAACACGTTTATTAAGGGATAACGCGAGAGCTCAATATGAATCAACCCGAGTTTATTCAAAAAGAAATAAAATAACAAAAGGAAAAATAAGAATTTCTGAACGATAACAATCTCCATCTATATATATCTTTATTACCTAAATAAAAAGGTGAATAATTAGAAAAGAAAGGGTCATATATGTATAGTGAAACGGACTAATTAAAAATATGGTATATCACTAGAAACATGAAAGGAAAGGAAAAATATATATCTAAGTAGCTGTGAAGGCTGAAAGCCTGTACCAGCGCTGAACAAGAGAAACCCTTTTTTATGTCAATTAGAGTTGTTTGTTGTTAAAGATACAGCTGGTTCTTGTCGGTTTTATCTTCTATCTTTTTGCAGTTGATCGAATAGGGTTTTATTTTTCCATATAAATTAGTTCCTTGATGACCATTGGCGGCTGCTTCTGTAGTCTGGTTAGTTAACGTCTTCAACTGTGTAATAAACAAACAAATATGGAAAAAAGACGCTTACAAATAACTGCTGTATTTTATTGATTTCAAGGTGTAAAACTGAATCATGTCTCAACAAAATGTGTTCCAACTTAAGAGAATTTATATCGAGTATGTCATATACGTGCACTCCTTCAAATATTTAGTAAAATCTAGAAGAAAATGCTTTAGAGTTCTTTTGGGTCACCGCATGCGCAATTCGGAAATGGCCCTAAATTACGCTTGTAAAGATCATCGTTTAGTTGACTAAATCCGACTCTGAGCCTTATGAAATGGATCTCAGACATTCTTCGAAGTGTCGGTTACAATCTGAGTTGTAACAAGCACGGTGCTTCTATCTTCGAAACCCGCATAGTCGAGTGTCTATTCTGTTTCATTTTCATCCAATGAAGTCAAAAGTAGGGTTCTGACCAATAGAATGCGTCATAGAGGTCGCTCATACTCATTTTCGAATTCTTCATAATCGATTAACTATTCCCTAGAATTTTCATAAATTTATTAGTAGGTGCACTATAACGTCAGGACAAAGACCAACCTTGTCTACTTCTAATGTAAACCGATATGAACGAACTAAAAACCAAGTATACACTAAGTTGTTATAAAGCGGTTATTTACGGTTACGGTTAACCGTTGCATGCCTACTTAGTATCATCAAGCAAAGAAATGAATGGAGTTACTTATAACAGTCAAAAAGTTCTATCATTTTGAAAAAAGGCATACACTGTCATTCAGCGCCTAACCTGGACTTCTATACTGTCGTTAGAAAGCCCAGATTCTTGCGGATGAGAATCTGTTATCAGGGTATCTCCAAGTCCTCTCCTTTCAGAAAAAAGGCAAATCAAAAGATTATAGGTACGCATGAAAAAGATCTGTTCACTGGAAATCAAAGTCGAGTATACACTATAATGGGACAAGATTAGTAACGGCCTGGAATTAGAAGGACCGTTGATTGTTGGATACTACAAGCTTTATTCGTACACCATTCAATCAGGTTGTCGAGTACGAATAGGGTATTGGTGGAGTTTTGAAAATTGGGTCGAGTAATGGCAGATGTGCCCGTGCGCATTTCTAGTTCCATCACTGAGTAGCATTTCTCACACCAAAATGAGAACAAACGCCGTACGATAGCTAATTGTCGAATGTACTTTATTCTAAAATAGTCCAAAGTTATTCTTATTGTACTTAATACTCAAATTTGCTTTTTCGACCCGTCTGGAAACCTGACAGAACTTCTCAAAGGCTTCATAAAAGTTTTTTAAGTGAGCGCCAGTGTTGGTAAAAATCCGTACGAATCAACTGTATTATTTCTTCTACGTACAGGAGCACATGCATTTGAATTACTGTAGATGAGCTAAATAGACCGCTAGTTGCGTTTTGACACAGAACATATACTTTTTAAATTTTCTGAGAACTTTTACAAGCGACAGTGTCAAATGCTTTCAGAAATCGATAATATTTTTGTGTAACGTAGCCCATTGGATGCTGCTTCAAACTCCTAACCTTTCAAAAGAACGTATCTGAACGCGTTTTGTCTCAAACTAAAGACAACAAAAGCACGTTCAGCAATGTCCAAAAGGAGATGTTTATTCAGATAAAAGTAAAGCTTCGTTAAGGTCAGAGGACTGACGGCTATAACAAATCGTTTCGCTTTCATCACCTGTCGTAACTCGAGACTACTTAGATAGCCTCCATGAGCACCTTTATTGGGAAAAATCGACTTTTCTTCCGACAAGATGATATTTTCTCTCTATTTTCAACATGTGTAAATTATGTAGATGTTGCATGTTGTCGCCGGCTCTTTTCTTTGTTTTCCGAGAGTTCTTAATGAGTTTAACGTGCGTCATTATCTGTCAAATGAGGCATGAGAAAACAAATTAAGCCAATTTCTATCTCATCTCACGTCTGAACGCCTTGTAAACACAAACCTTTTCTGTTCATATAAGAGAAAATCCGTGCATCTCAGGCTTGATCTATTTCTACTCACGAAATCTGTGCAATAATGCAACATGAGAACGAAGTAGTAAATGTTTACGGGATGCTGAAAGGTGAGATGAGATGGAAATTGGCTTAATTTGTTTTTTCATGCCTCATTTGAGAGAAAATGACGCACTTCAGACTCATTAAGAATTCTCAGAAAACAAAGAAAAGAGTTAGCGATAAACATGCCACACTTACTAAAAATAGAGGAAAAAACTCGGCTTTTCTTCAAATGTATTTTTATTCTTTAAGATTATACAACGACATTCACTTGAACATAAAACACTTACTTGTTTTACGTGCATTCCAAAAGCAGGTAACTGAGGAGTTATAACACAGACACCACTAGTTGTCTATTGAAGAATAGCCCTTGCCATTTTTCGAATAACCTAAGAACAAAAAAAGAGGTAGAGACCTGTGGCTTGCACCATTGCGTAGTCAAAACCTTAAACTATCTTTTTACAAGAGAAAATCTTTTGAAAACGTTTTCTGATTGGATCTTTGAAAATTTGTCCATACTATATATTCAATGTTTTCGTATGTGAAGATAGCCTAAGGCAGGAATCCGCAAAAGGGAGTCGGCAGAAAGAGGGCAGTCCCTCCCAGAAATTTCTAACTTTCCGTAAAAGGCTTTGCCTTGACTTTCCGTAAAATGTAGCAATGGCATAAAAAGCTATGTTTTGTGTCAACTTTTTTGTATTAATCTTCCATGTAGGCATGCAAATACGAGTATGGTCTCTTTTTTATACTATTTGAAAGCCTGTTTTTCTTCTATAAGTGTTTCACGTCTTAAAGGTTTATCGTCTCGAGTTGAGGGGCAGAAATAAGAGTTTAAATTCTAAGGCTTGAGCGCCTGTAACACGTTAATGCAATTTTGCATGTTAAGACTGCAGTTAAAAGTAGAATGAAAATGAGAGTTAAAAATTACATAGGTTCGACCTGTTTATGCAGCCGTTAACAAATAAACTGCCGTGTATAGGAGGACATGACATTAAATCGGAGACAGAAATATAGTTGCATATAGCTAGATAAAGAATATTACGTTATATTTGGATGAACAAGAAAATAATAGAAAAAATGATCTTGACCAAGATTAAAAACTGCTATTGTCTTTATTTGTATTCTGTTCCCCCAATAAGCGGAACAAAAAGTGAAGCAACCTCAGGTTGAGCACTGAGAACATGGTAAGATAAGTTTATTCTAGTTTTGCTCTATCACTTTTCGCAAGATATTTTTATAAGCTTTCCGCCATAATTATAGGTTGTCGAGCACGCTCAACCTTGTAAAATAGTTTATTTTTCGAGAAACATCCAAAACCTAGTAAAGTTAGATCACCTGACAAAAGTCAATGTTAACTGTTTTTGTGAAATTAAAAAACGTGTAATTCACTGAAAATCAATTCAACACACTTCAAAATTTGACAATTACCATGTAGCACAGAAGAGATCCTGAAACACATGAAAACATTAAATATATTGTTATAGACAAGTTCTCAAAGATCTCCTCAGAAAACAAAACAACCTTTTCAAAAGATTTTCTCTTGTAAAAAGACAGGCTAAAGTGTTGGTTAAGCAACAGCGCACGCAGCAGGTTTTTACCTCTTTTTTTATTCTTGAGTTATTCGAAAAATGGCAAAAGTCATTCTTTCAATAGACAGCCAGTACTGGAGTATTTGAATTTTAGGAATGAGTCTGGGAGATGTCAAACAATCTTTGTCCAAAAGAACCTCAACCATCCGCAGTAGAGCATTATCGCAAACTGGTTTTGCAACATCATTGCGTGATCGTCCTGTTGTCCATAACGCTCAACATGTTGATGATCTCGGGCGAAAACGTTCAACTGGCACGAATGAAACGAGATGTACTAGATTTGATGAGAGTGGCCTGCAAATGACTAACGATCCGAACAGCGTATTTTATCGGCGTCTGAGTGAAACACTTCAAAAACAAGTACGAAAAGAGAATCGCACAGCGAATGAAGAAGAAAAATTCCAATCATTGGAAAAATATGGTCCAGAACTGGTTGAATTTCTTAAAGACAGGGAAGGCCATCTTAAATCGAAATTTGACAAAGTTTTTATCACTTAAATCCCTTGTCAGTTGCTACTTGCATGTATTTAATACCAAAGATTTAAAAAAATATAAATAATAAAATTACAAGAGAGAGACTGATGGAAAAGAAAAAAGCGCAAAAAAGCATCGAGTAATTAATATTATGTCTCCATATTTGAATAAAGGGCAGTTCCACGTAGCACCGTCCAGTATTACATGATCGGAAAGCCGGTCAGAAATTACTCTTGTCATCGTCTAGAGCATAAAAATCAGTTATAAATCGATACTGTTTAGGTATTCAAACGGTTCCGAAAACGTTTACGACGTGACCTTTAATATAAATTATATTCATTCAGAGAAAGAAGAGAAAATAAATGTGGTCTGAGTTCGACTACTTTCTTCACACTAGCTATAGTAATATACCCATTGCCAAATTTCCTACGTGACTTATCTTAGTAAAAAATAAGGATGCGGGTTTTTTTCTCGAATATGCAAGAAAATGCTAGTATTTTTTGTGAGGGTGAGGGTGCCTGTACAATTGTATATTTACGCGATCATTCATTTAGACGAAATATACAAAATAGTGAACTTTTATTCTCGCAACAATTCGTATTTTATTATTCCAGATAATACAGTTTAACCCAACCCACATAAATCTTTTTTGTTGCATAATTAGTAAACGAAAGTTAGTTGTATTAGAACAGATATCATCAGCGACATTCAATCGAAATAGAACACTCACAGTTGTACTTAATCATCAATATTTGCAGATGTTCGTTTTTTTCTTTTTTCTTGTAATTCCGTTTCAAAATTTTCAAACTAAAGCGCAGGAGATATTTGATGAAAACAAAGACACTGAGAAAACAGTTGATAAAGCGATTGTCCGATTGAACAAATTAAAAATACCTTGATGATACGGAAATGCGATTTTTGTTGCTTACACGGACGAGTTTATTATGGTGATTGAAAATGTTTTATTTGAAATATTTTTTGTTGACTCACAGTGATATCAGCTTGTTTTGGCTCTCTTTTTGATCTTTCACAGCCAAATGAAAGTCATTTCGATCAAATTCTATAGTCGAAACTATTATCAGCCGATCCTTGTTGAGGATATCATTCCGATAGAGAACTTTGTATTTTTCTGGAAAGGCTAACTTCATTGAACAAATATTAGTTTTTCAAATATGTCGTCCCCATAATGACATCTAGTTGACCAAACTAAGCATATTCCCGAGTTTTCAACTTGCTCTGATGTATTTTTTTTCTGAGTTATGAATTTTTTGATATTAATCAGCTGTACAAAAAGTCGGAAACGACTAGTTTTTCTAACACTTAGATGTCACTAGGTTCTAAAACTTTTTCTAGGAACAAACATTACCACAAGACTTAGCATAGCCGATAACCTATGTTTTCATGCATTTCTGAAAATTTCAGACCGAAGGATAGAGAAGTCCTAGGGCTTCGGGAAAAACAACCGAAGTTCCTGAATCAAGCAAAATGAAACTTTTGCTTAGATTTATTTCGCAGAATACTATATTTCACACCCTTAGAGGGTGGCAATAGCCGTTGTTGACACCCTCTGAAGGACGCAATAGCTCCCTGATGATACCTCCGGAGGTGCCAACAGCCATTCCGTAATTATTGATAGGCCAAGGAAAGAACGAATAACACTTTCACTCACTTGTTACCAATTGCTTGCATGCTCTTGCGTTATACAAAAACAAGATGGCACACCTAAACCGCGAAGAACTACGAATTCGCTTAGTCTCTTTTGTGGAGGGGATACTTTGGACTATATACCTATGTCTTTGCCTGTTTAAAAGTTGTAATTGATTCTATTGTATCAAGACTACTTACAGAATCAATTTGCAAAGAGTTCAAAGAAATTCAAATTATTCAAAGGTTTCGATTTCATTTGTTTACTTAAAAGGAACTTTATTTTGGGAACCAACATCTGCATTGATGAAAGTATGATCAAATTCAAAGGAAGAAGTTCTTTGAAGCAGTCTATATCGTTGAAGCCGATCAAAAGAGGATACAAAGTGTGGTGTTTAGCAGTTTCGTTACCGGGATATCTGTATAATTTCGACATCTATATTGGTGAAGAAAAAAAAGATACATTCACATTCTATGACTTTTTCATTTCAAATTTGTATAATTCTCTTCATCGATCAATCAAAGTAATTTTGTTTTTCTAGAAAAATGCAGAAAAACAACAACAATAGCTTTTTATTATAATCCTTTAAGATGATTGATAACATTTTGGTTTGTTTCTAAAACGAATCAACAAAAATGTTTTAATTTTATAAAAAACATGCGACATATGCTTCTACGTATAACTGACCGAATATTACTTTCCCTAACCGGAAAGTGCTTGTTGATGGGCACAATCCTATTTGTCTAGAACAATGTACCAGACGTTCGTCCGGTCCGGGCGTTAGTTTCTTTGCGCAGACGGTGTAATGGTTCCAACTAAGACTATCGAATTATTCATGTCATCTTTTTTTTCTTTGGACTAATCTAGACGGGTATAGCGGACAACGGACTAGTAATGCGGGTCGACGAGACACTGCAGACCAATCTAGACGGGTAATACGGACATTTGTTAAAAACTGGACTAGTCATGACGAACGAAAGGGACGTTCCAGACTGGTCCTGACGGGATATACGGACATTTTGGACTAGTCATGACGGCCGTCTTCAGTAATTTTTT